CCCGGCCATTTTTTTGGTTGCAGCCGTCATTGTTGTTTGGCGGGTCTGGGCTGGATTCGAACCTGCCACCTTAGGTGTATGTGGCTGGTGCCTTAGCCGGTTGAGCATGTTCTATATTTTTTTATTTTTTGAGACATAGTCTTAAGCTGTTACCCTGGGTAGAGTGCTGTGTTGTCATAGCTCACAGCAACTTCCAACTTGGGCTCAAGTGATTCTCTTGCTTCGGTTTTTCTATTTTTAGTGGAGATGGGGTCTTGCTTTTGCTCGTGGTCTCAAACTCATGAGCTCACACAATCCACCTGCCTTAGCCTCCCACAGTGCTAAGATTACCAGCGAGCCATGCACCTGGCCTGCATGTACTATAATTTATTTACTCAAGCCAAATCTACAGTTTTTTAGATTCATTATTTAACTAAATCACCAATAAATGGGGCTTCCCCATTTTTTCCATTAAGCCAATACCACAAAAAATTCTTGAAAATATTCTTATGCTCTTATCGAAATGTTTGAGCATAAATTCATAGATGGGAAAATGCTGGGCCAAATGATATGAACATTGAAGAAAATTTGTAGCCATTTCCAAATTCCTAGCAACTATGTTTTCAAGTGCCTTTTCCAGAACAGCCAAGCCAATAGTGTATGGTATCAACAATGTCACTCTTTGACAATCTAATAGGAGAACATATTGCATTGTTTAACTTGTATATTTCTATAATTTTTTAATGTGATTCTTCATCTTTTCATAGTTTTAATGATAATTTCAATATCCTTTCCTTATGGGTTTCTTAATCACGTTTTTTACCTATCTTTCTGTCAGTTATATGCCTTTTCTAAGGACTTTTTTTTTTAAAACAGAGTATCACTATGTTGCCCTTGGTAGAGTACCATGGCATCACAGCTCACAGCAACCTGAAACTCTTGGGCTTAAGCAATTCTCTTGCCTCAGCCTCCTGAGTAGCTGGGACTATAGGCACCCACCACAACACCCAGCTGTTTTTTGTTGCAGTTATCATTGTTGTTTAGCTGGCGCAGGCAGGGTTCAAACCTGCCACCCTTGGTGTCTGTGGCTGGCACTGTAACCACTGTGCTATGGGCACCGAGCCTCCTAAGGACTTTTTTTTTTTTTTTTGAGACAGAGCCTCAAGCTGTTGCCCTTGGTAGAGTGCCATAGCATGACAGCTCACAGCTGTCCTCCAACTCCTGGTCTCGAACAGTTCTCCTGCCTCCACCTCCCAAATAGCTGGCACTATAGGTGCCTGCCACAACGCCCGGCTATTTATTGGTTGTAGTTGTCATTGTTGTTTGGCAGGCCTGGGCTCCAACCCACCAGCTCAGGTGTATGTGGCTGGCGCCTTAGCCTCTTGAGCCACTGGCACCGAGCCTTCTTCTAAGGACTTTTGAGAACATTTTATACATTAAAAAAAGAGAAGGTTCTTCAATGGATGAAAATTTAGCCCTAGGGTAACTGACTATGATGCTTCTGGTGGTCTGCAAAAACTTAAGCCCAGCGTCTAGAAGGAAAATTTTCCCATTTTTCAAGGGGCAGTCTCCCAAAAACTGAAAAGGAAGAATTTGTCTGTAGGTAATTTAGAGTTTAAGGAGGTTTTCCAGAAGAATTTTTTGTCTTTTTGATCAAACAGCTGGGCTCTTGCCTTCACATATTCAGGTGGGACAGAGAGGTAGTACCCTCTGGCCTTCTGAGCTTTCCTCTGAACTTCAGGTTTTCCCTGTCGCCTCTGCCTGTGAAACTCAGCCCTGCCACACAGCATGTTCAGGTTAGGAGAGACAGAGGCTCTTAGTCCACCTGCTCCTTTTACAGATGGTGAAAGTGAATCCCAAAGAGGAAAGAATTATCTCTTATCTATTATTTCCTCAAGCAACTGGTTCTTGGGTTCTTTTTGAGTTCCTTTTTGTCTTTAACTTGGAGGTCTAAAAACAACTGTGATTTATTATCTTGCCAGGGGAAAAAACAACTCTTATTTTGCACATGTACCAATATTTATTGCTTTTTTGGCCCCAGATTCATATTTCTATCTCCCCTTTCCCCTTGGGCTACTATGTGGATAGATGTCAAGTTTCTTCCTATACAATATCTCTTTCCCCTCCGAGCTCCATTAGCGTCGGGGTTTTTGGACTCTCTGACTCCTCTTGAGTTGAATTTTCTCTCCAACCCAGGGCACAACCACACACTTCTCCTTCTCTAGACAGCCTTTCCAGTCTTCCCACATCACACCAAAAGTGTGGCTCAGTTCAGCTTTCAGCATAATGAAGCCAGTTCCACAGCAATTCATGGTCCACTATGCAATCAATTGCACTTGGAAATTCTTGTTTGAATGTAGGCGCTTCTGTGCGTTTCACGAAAAGCACTCAAGAGGCATAGAACCATGGTTCTCATCCTGGCTCTGTCCCTTACAGAGTAAAGGGAACTTGAGTAAAATACATGGCCTCTCATGGCCTCAGTTTCCCTACTTGTAAAATTAGGGAGTTGGGCTGGAACATTTCTGTGGATCTCTTCAGCCCCAAATTATGATACTTCTCCACCATCTATGTCTTTGCTGTCTTTTTGACTCCCTGCCAGCCCTCTAGGCTGGCAAACAAAAGTGTGAGTCAAAAATATCTGTGGATGGAATCCTGGGGCTTGTGTGTTAGCTGTCTTCTATTCTCATCTCTAAGACCAGCAGGGAAAAATCACTTTGTTGTAGAAAAGCCTGTTGCCCTGATACATTCCTGTACTTCAGCAGGCAGTTTGCTGACCTAGGAAAGGAAAATTCCAGCATTAAACTTTTTTTTTTTTTTTTGAGGCAGAGTCTCACTCTGTCACCCATGCTAGAGTGCCATGGCATCAGCCTAGCTAACAGCAAACTCAAACTCCTGGGCTCAAGCGATCATCCTGCCTCAGTCTCCCAGTTCTGTAATGTTAGGATTACAGGTGTGAGCCACCATCACATCTGGCCAGCATTAAACTTTTGTCTTTCCTCCTCTGCCGCCTGCCCCCAAATTCTTCACTCTTACCCCCATACTCAGGGTGCTGTAGAGCTTGCTCTCAGACCAGTGTGTTCTGAGACCAGCTGCAGTAGGCCCAAACTATGCCCCGTGGACCAGAAAATAAACCAGGCTGTCAGGAGCCCCTCAGGTGGCCACAGTCATCCATTTAGCTGTCCATTCCCTGGTGCAGGCCTAACGTACTGCCTAGAGCAATCTCAGAGCCTCTGTTGTTGTGGAAAATGACAACCAAGTAGCAGACCCAGCTAAGAAACAGGACCTTCCAAGACAGGCCACACTCCTCTTTCCTTTCCTGCTATTGGCATCCTTCAGGGAACCCGGGAAGAGACCCAGGTTGTGACCAGGAAGTAACTGATTTTCTCTCCACCCCCAGGAAACCACCCCCGCCCTCCGGCTGCAAGCAGCTGAGCCCTCTCTATTCTCTCCCTGCCCACAGTGCAGAGTGGGTTGGGGAGGGGGCGATCCTTGTTCCTGAAAGGGAACATTTGCCTCCCTTCCAGAGGGGAGTGCTGGAAGTCAGTGGAGTCTCTCGGTGGACTCTTCAGGCTCTCACGGCCTGCCTGGCTTTCTCCTCCTGCAAAGTGGGTCTGAAAACCCCACACCAGTCCTCACTCATCCTCCTTGAGCTTGATGCTGAGAGAATGAAAATAAAACCAGGAATAACTTGATGAAAAGTCTGCTTCCCCCACCCCCATGTAGTGAATGACCCCCAGTGTCCTGGCTGTGTAGAAAAAATGCAGGATCTGAGCCCAAACTGCTGAGATTCCCTCCTGACTCTCCATAGAAAGATAAAAATGGCTGCTAGTTTTTGTCTTAAGCTTTTGCATTTAAATTGTTTCAATGATTTAATTTTATTCTATTACCATGGTTAAGGCCTGTTTTAGTGTGCCCTGACCATAGAGCTATTTCTTTTTACTATACTTCCCCCAAACAGCTCTACAGCAGGTAATCAAGACACACAGCACTGGTGAGCCCACCTGCCCCATTTTGCCAGCAGCTTGTTACTTCTTTTTAAAATCTGGGAATCAGTCAGGCCCCAGGTCTCTACCTTAGGTCTTCCCTCCTCTGGAACATCCAAAAAGCTGTCCTCTGCATGAACAAGGGTGTCATCCACTTAGCTAAAAAGATTGTAAGATCTAATTTCCAGGACTGCCTTCATTTCCACTAGCCTGTCCTGTTGTCAGGACGGTCAGGCCGGCTGGCACCAGGGCTCAGGCCTATAATCCTAGTAGGGGGATGGATTGAGGCCAGGAATTCAAGATCAGCCTGGGCAACAGTGAAACCTTGCATCTATAAAAACAAAACAAAACATGGGCAGCACCCCTGTGGCTCAGTGAGTAGGGCACTGGCCCCCTATAACAAGGGTGGCAGGTTTCAACCCTGCCCTGGCCAAACTGCAACCAAAAAATAGCCAGGCATTGTGGTGACGCCTGTTGTCCCACCTACTCTGGAGGCCGAGGCAAAAGAATCACCTAAGCCCAAGAGCTGGAGGTTGCTGTGAGCTGTGACACCATGGCACTCTACCCAGTGAGACTCTGTCTCTAAAAGAAAAAAACAAAACAAACCACACAACATGTCAGGCCACCAAGCAGCTGATTTACCTGGGTTTTGGGTCTGATGGTCCAAGCTTCTAACTCCATGATCTCCCATTCAAGAACCCCTCCCAACCCCCGAGCACCCTCATTTTCTTGGACCATGGCACAAATTGGCAATGTGATGTCAAATAAAATGGTTAACCACTTCTGGCCTGTTTTATACTCAAGTTTTCTCACTGGAGTAAGGAAGGCTCCAAAAATTCCTTGTCAGCGCAAGCTCCCTCTGCCAAGCTCAGGTCCTGGGGCTGTGGGATCCCGTAGAGGGATAAGCTAACTGTCCTTCCTGGCCCGGCAGGTGGTGATCGAGTCAGACCTGTACTCACATCGGCCCCTAGAGCTGCTACAGCACCGTGGTGACCGCAGGGACACAGTGGACGGCCGCAGGGTGGGCCGACTCCAGACCGCGCGGCCTCCCGGGGTGCCCCCGGCCAAAGCTCTCCCCAGACCTGGTATGTGAACTGTGGGCCCAGGGCCCTGGATCTCCCCAGACTCAGGGACTCACTGAGAACCACTTAGGCACCTAGGAATGGGCAGCAGCGGCAGTGTCTACCCCTCCACTTTGCGTCTCGGAGATGTGTGGGGAGCAGCATACCTACTCTTTTCCCAAATAAAAGCTGTTTCCATTGGTAAGGCACCTGCTGTGAGCCCCACCTCCAGAGCCCCACAGAACACTCTACCTGTAAGGCAGGGGCTTCTGGGTGCCTGGGAGGATGCTCCTATCACCTTGCTCCACAGGACGCAGTGCCGTGTTCAGGAGAGGATGTAAATCAGTAAGCTCTGGAAGGGAGAGGACACCATGATCCATGAAGCAAAGGAAGTTTCACATTGTTTATTTAACAGATTGTGCCTGCATGTGTGTGCGCCCGCGTGCTTGCACAGCTCTTCCGTAAACTGCCATCCTAAAGTTTTACCATATTAAGTTTGAATGACTTAAACAATAACCTATAAAAAGAATTGAGGGGCAATTTGTTTTGGATACTATTTTGGAAAATGGCTTCCACCCCAACGTGCTAAACACGAATCTGCCTTTAGCCCACCAGAATCTATGATAGCATTTTGTCTATAATAGCTCATTTAGGTTATTTAAGTTATGCCCACAACATATTCATATTTTAACTTCAATACTACACAATAGAAAGTCTGGGGTGTCCTCCTTAATCCTTTTGGCATTGGGAATTGTGTATGTTATGAGAACTGTGATAAGGCTCCACTGAGTACGGTCCCTTCATCCATCTTCATTTTTCCCCTTTCATAGTTGTTAAATGACACCACTAAGGTTTCTTTAAGCACTAAGAGCATGATCTTGTGATCCTGTGCATAAGAACACGGAAGTCAAGCTATACACTCATTAAATGCTTACATACACGTATATGTATGCAGAGTGAAAGCATTAGGAAAACCACAATCTGCCTTGCAAATTAAGAGACTTTTCTCTCTGTCTATATATAGGTGGGTGGGTGGGAGCATGTATGTTGGAAAGAGAAAAAGAATATTTGTCATTTCTACAAAATCATAAAATGAATTTAGAGCCACGCTTCTCAAATGTTAATGTGCCAAAGAGTCACCTGGGAATCTTGTTTTCCTGCAGATTCAAATTCAGTAGGACTGGGTGGGCCCAAGATTTTATCTTTCTAACAAGCACCCAGATGCTGCTGTTCTGGGGATACCATATTGAGCAGCAAGGATTTAGAAATGATCAGATGCAGTGGTTCTCAAAGTGGAGTCCCAGGAGGAGCAGCAGACCCTGGAAGTTTATGGGATATGCAAATTTTATTGAATCAGGAACGCCAGGGTTAGGACCCATCAATCTGTTTTAATGAGCCTCCCCCATCAGGCGATTCTAATGCACGCTGAAGGTAGAGAACCTCTGATCCGCAGCATCTACCCCTCTGCCAATTTACAGAAGAGGAAACTGAAACCATAGAAACTGTTTGACCTACCCAAGGTCACACTGCTTGTTAGCGACAGAGCCAAGGTTATATTTCAGGTCTTTGATTCCCCAGCTCATGCCTCTTCTTCCCCCAGGGAATGATGTCTTCCCAACTGTCTGGCTTTAGGGGTCACATTCATTCCTTTCTAAGTAGTTTGTGGCAGCGTGGACAGCCTGAGTCAGTGTTTGACTCAGAAAGACAAGAGCAGTAGGTTATGAAATGGAGAGACTCTGCCCAACACGTGACAGTCAGCTCATGCAGGGAACATGCCAATCAAGTTGAGAGAGAGAGAGACTAAACTGGGCACTGATTCAATTTCTTCAGCTCCCCCAGTCTGATAGATTCTAGAGGGGGCAGGAGGGAGGGAACATTCTGAGTCAAAGGCAAAGCCTGGTGCTCTCCACAGGAAAGGCTGCCCCATACTCCCTCAGAAAGCTGTAGGTCTCTGGAGATCTCAGGCCTGGGTACTTGCTCTCCTCAGAGCCACAGGAGAAGGTGCCTGGAGGCTACAGCCTGCTCACATGGGGAAAAGATGCTCTGAGGAATCTTGGCCATCATGAGGACTCTAAAGGCAGAGACCTGGCTGAGGAGCTCTCTCACCCAGACCTCAAGGTGCCTGGAAAGGGGACAGCCCCCACCTCCTAGGCCTGGGAAAGTTGGCTGCTTCTTCACTGAGATGTCCCCAGGCCCTTCAGTGTTACCTTGTTGGAATTGCTCTTGCTTTCTCAGCTGAGGCCAATTATCCATCATTCCAGCAAGTCTTGGGGTGTTTCCCTAACACCTCCTTGTCCTCCCCCTCCCTTCACACACGAAACCCTGATGGTGTTCACTCCTAGGTATCTCATCTCACCCCCAGGCCTCAGACTCCTTCAGCCCCACTAGGTAAGTGTTGGCCTCCAGGCCCCCTCCCTCTACCAAGCAACAGAGGGGGTCCTCCTATAGCAAAAATCTGTCCCTGTCATCCTCAACTCTATGTGCTATGTCACCTCCCCACTGCTGTCCTCTAGACCATGCTGACCTCTCCAGGACTCCCTCCTGTGACACCGCTGCCCTCAGCATTCATTCTGCCAGAGCTAGGGTGTGGTTCTGTGATCACACCTCCATATCCTGCCTCCCAGACATTCACAGACACTGTTCTTGCTGCAGAACGCCCTTCCTATGTCTCTCACCTAGCAAACCACCTCCTCCCAGGCTGAGTTACAGGGTCCCTCAGTCAAGCCTCCCCAACCTTGAAAGACCACCAAACAAGCCAATTCACTACCCCCTAAATCATCCTTACCTGCCTTCCTTATAATTGTTATGAATCTCTAAAGCAGGCATCCTCAAACTACGGTCTGTGGGCCACATGCAGCCCACCTAGGACATTTATCCAACCCACCGGGTGTTTTTGCCCCCGCTGCCTGTCCTGCTTAGCAGCCGACTCATCCCGGGGCCTGCAGTCCAGCCCTCCAATGGTCTGAGGGACAGTGAACTGGCCCCCTATTTAAAAAGTTTGAGGACCCCTGATCTAAAGCCTCGGTTTCCTCAATTAGAAAATGCAGACTAATACGATATCTACCTCTTAGGAGTGTGTTGAGGATTAAGTAATTTACATGCTTTATTCTCAGCATAGTTTCAGGTATGCGGACAAAAATATAAGTTGCTGTTATTTATGCCAGGGCACCATTCATTGTGGTTTGATCTTGGAAGTCTCATAACATTTCATTTCATTAGCACTAAGACGTCTTCCTGGGGGTGTGGGACGTTTCATTTTTAAATGCTTTATAATAATACAATGGGGCTTGTCCTGGATCACCTACACCAGTAGAGACCAGTATTGAAAGCCAACTTTCCCCAGATTATGCTGGGAACCTTAGCTCATCACCAGGAACCTCAAACACTTTGGGATAGAAGCAGGTTGGGGCATCTGGAATAAAGGCTTTAGAAAGAAGGTTTTCCACCCAAATAGCTTACATATAGCCAGTGTCTTAGGATTCTGAGCTGATAAACTCCTATCCTTCCACATTAATGGGGCTGAGCTTCCCGTGGGTGTGACTTCTCCACTCATATTTAAAGGAATATCCAAGAGCACCACGTTAAATAATTGCAACTGTAGAGATTTAACCCCTGAGAGCATCTTTAACCACTTGTGATCTGAGACCTTAGAAAGGAAGGAAGAGTTGAGGGCATATTCTCTGAGCACCTACCGCGTGCGGTAGACACAATGCTAAATGCTTCCACGTATGTTTTTTTTTTTTTAATAGCCTTTATTTTTTAGAACAGTTCTAGGTTCACAGTAAAGCGGAGCTGAAAGTCCAGAGATTTCCCACCACATATGCACAGCCTCCCTCTTACCACAATCCCACACCAGAGTGGCACATTTGTTTCAGTCAAGGAACCTACATACACACACTGACCTTATACGAATCTTAGTTCCAGCCCTCCAGAAGGGTGGCAACTGTCTCACCACCTGACCCTGCCCACAGTGAAAGCCTTTAGAAACCCCCTGCTGGGACTGATTGGCTAACAAGGGAACTGATGCACAAAGGTGGGCGGGGAGGGGGGGGCACAGAACACGGAGTACCACTGAGTAACATCCCCTCCCTTGCAGGGGGGATTTCTGAACCCAAAGCATCAAATCTGTGTGGGAATCGAGCATACGGCAAATCTTTGGTAAGTAAAATAAGCCTGGTTGCTTGTTTCTGTCATGCTTTAATCTTCTCATCATGTCTGAGTCTATCGTTCTATGAGGGGAGACTAAATGTCCTTTGTTCCAAGCTTGAGAATTGTTACAAAAGCACACACTGACCAGGTGCGGTGGCTCATACCTGTAATCCTAGCACTCTGAGGGGCCAAGGTGGGAGGATCATTTGAGCTCAGGAGTTCAAGACCAGCCTGAGCAAAGTGGAACCCAGTCTCTAGTGGAAAAGAAATAGGAAAAATAGCTGGGCATCGAGGCAGGCACCTGTAGTCCCAGCTACTCAAGAGGCTGAGGCAGGAGGAGCACTTGAGCCCAGGAGTTTGAGGTTGCTGTGAGGAAGGCTGGGTGGGGGAGGTGCCACAGCCAAGGCAACAAAGTGAAACTCTGTTTCAAAAAAAAAAAAGCATATGCTGGCTGTTCTTTGCTCCTAAAAGCTATGAGTTGGTCCTGCTGTGTGCACTTCTAAAACACTACTGGCTGCTTCTTTCTGTCTAGAAATGTAGCTCTTAGGCAAACAGAAGCAGCTATTACCCGTTTACATCCCATAGATGGAGGAAAGAGCTGGTGTCTAGCGTAGGTCCTTGCTGGGTGGAAATAGCTAACTAATCCCCAAGGGCGGGGATGGGGGGAAAGATGTTAAGATTCTCAAGCTCTGTGAAACAAAAAACATCAGTGTCTTAGCTCAGGCTGCTATAACAAAGTGCCATAGACTTGCTGTGGAACACTTTCTTACAGTTCCAGAGGCTGGGAAGGATAAGACAGTGCGTAGTGAGGGCTCTTCCTGGCCTGCAGACAGCTGCTTCCTCTCTGTGCGTTCACACGGCCTTTCTTCTGTGCGTGCTCAGAGAACAAAATCTTGGCATCTCTTCCTCTTCTTAGAAGGGCACTAGTCCTATCATAAGTGGCCCCATCTAAACCTAATCACCTCCCAATATGATCACACTAAGGGTTAGGTCTTCAACATATAAATCTATAGGGGTACACAAACATTCAGTCCCCAGCAGCCAACTATCTCAGGACGGGGACTTCTGCTACAGGTCAGCTTCTCCAGAAGACTCTGAGATTTGGGGGTTGGAGTTAGATGTATATTAGGTACCAACACCTATAACAGGAGCGGGAAAAGCAGGTTTGTGTGAAGGAAGTTGCTGAACCACAATGCAGGCCCCATACTTCCCGGTGGGGAGCTCTGGGGCAAATGTTGCCCATCCAAGTTGGCCTAAGTTGGTCCAGAATGGCTGAGATTTTATGTTCCCTCCTCACTCCATCACAGTATGTGGGCTGCCCTGGGAAGGGTGTGACCTTGGGCCCAGTGGCCTTCTGCAGCAGAAAGCCACAGCTCCCTCCCACAGCTGGGCAGCTATCCTTCCTTCAAGGGGGGTCAAATGGACCATCTCTGGGTCTACATCTCCTTCGTCATCCCCTGGGCATGAATGTCAGGTTCCCTCTCAGTTAGCAGAGTCAGTGGTGGTTGGAGGTGAGGTTGGTTCAGTCATGCTAGGCTCTATGAATATCAGCTGTTGAGATTCATAGATGGTGCAATGTGAAAAGAGACCCAAGACATTGTCTGTGCCAACCCCTCATCTTTTTGGCTGGGGCTGGGTTTGAACCCACCACCTCCAGCATATGGGGCCGGCGCTCTACCCTTTTGAGCCACAGGAGCCACCCTAACCCCTCATTTTTACAGAAAAATTGGACAGAGATGTGAGTGCTTCACTCACTCCTAGTTTGGGCAGGAGAATTAATCCCAGGATCTCATTTGGGTTATCACCATTCTAGGAAATCCACATAAAGGGCAGGGATGGAAAAAGCTATTTGTCAGGGGGCCCCTTTCCCAACCTTGTACTTGGGGAACTAGGATGGCTGAGCAGTTGACACAGGGAAGATTGTCAGCATCAACACCTGTCCTTGGCCAAGCCTAGAAAAAGACCAAGGTTCAGGGGGAAGAGGTGGCTCGTGGCCTTGGATGACTCCCCCAGCCCTTAGTGGGCACAGATGGTGCCTTTGGCCAGAGGGAGCTGGGATGCACAAGATGGTGATGGAGATTCGGCTACAAAGAGGAGGAAATAGCAACACAGAGGAGGATGAGGCAGCATGGCTGGCCCCTTCTTCTGGGTCTGGAGACAAGGGGGTTCCCACAGAAGGACAGAAGTCCAGAGCCCACAAGGCTAAATATGACTCAATACTGAAATACATGGGGTGATACAGGTATTGGACCAAGGACAGAAGAGGAAAGGAGTGGAACAAGGAGCCCTCAGCCCTCTGTCCCCAGTGCTAAAGGAGAGGACAGGGTGGCCTGGTGAGGAGGGAGTGCTCCAGAGAGGCCACAAGGTGGCACAGTAACTCTGCCCACAGCCTTCGGCCTGCTCAGGAGAGAGGGAGGTGGTGAATGAGGTGCCCTTGACCTGGAATTTCCCAGCAATTTCAGGGAATGTGGTGACTTGAAGCCTTCCAAGGGGCTTAGGGCAGAAGAGCAAAGCACAGTGTATATCAGCTGGCTGAGCAGCCTCTGGACCCAGCCCTTGTTAGGCCAGCAGTTAATTTTCAATTCACCACGTGTTCCCAAGTACTTACCACCTCCTTTGGGAGGGCAGAAGAGGGCTACCAAGGGAGTCAGGTCTCAGACCCAGCACATGCCAAGCAGTCTTACTGTGGATGAAAGACTGGACAAACAGGTGAATCCAGCAGGTAGAGAGCCAACAAAGACGATAGGTGGGGCTCGGCGCCTGTGGCTCAAGCGACTAAGGTGCCAGCCACATACACCTAAGGTGGCGGGTTCGAATCCCCAGCCTGGGCCCGCCAAACACCAATGATGGCTGCAACCAAAAAAATGGCCGGGCGTTGTGGTGGGTGCCTGTGGTCCCGGCTACTTGGGAGGCTGAGGCAAGAGAATCGCTTGAGCCCAGGAGTTGGAGGTTGCTGTGAGCTGTGATGCCATGGCACTCTACCCAGGGGGATAGCTTGAGGCTCTGTCTCAAATAAAAAAAAAAAAAAAGACGATAGGTGGGATGCCAAAACATGTCACATAGACACTCAGCACCATGGGGACATGAGGAGGACCACCAGCCTCAGGACAGGCTTCCTGAAGGCAATGGCCTTGAAGGGCAGGCAGAGATGAGGCCTGGATCAGGGAGTAAAGGAAAGGTGCAGGGCTGTGTGTGAGCCTCAGGGAAGGCAGGACCCCCACCTCCTCATCCCTGCCCCCTCCAGAACTGGAAGCAGTGACACACATGGGGACTAACAGGAGGCAGAGGTGTGTGGACGGCATGGAGGAACCTGAGGAGCAGATGTGGGCCTGGCCTTGGTCTTCCAGGCAGCAGGGTGTCCTGATGGTTCTGGGTCTACGGCAGATCTGGCCAGAAATAAAGAGGTCCCAGGTGACCATCCCTCAAAGGCTGCAGCACAAGAAATGGAGACGCTGACCCTGGCCTAGGCAGCCCATTCGAAGAAGGAAGCTGAGGGACTTGACAACAAACTGGACATAGGTGATGACAGCAGAAGGGTGACAGTTCTTGTGCAAAATTGAGTTGTGCCCTCTCAAGTTTCTCTAGGTCAGTAGTTCTCAAAGTGGGGTCCCAGGACTAGCAGCACCTGGGAACTTGTTAGAAATGCAGGTTTTCAGACCAGCTGACTCAGAAATGGGGGTGTGGGGGGACTGCCCTGTCAAACCTTCCAGGGGAGTCGGACACCTGCTGAAGGATGAGGACTGTTGGCTGTTGGTAGTGGTTCAATTCAGGCAACCCCCCCCCTTTCAAAGAACTACAGTGGGTGCCAGGGTGGGAACCAGATACATCCTCACTGTCCGTCCTGCTTCCTCATGGCAGATGCCTCCAGGGCCCCGTATCCCAGTGGAGGCAGCAGCCACTGGCACGGAGAAGGGAGCTGTTCTGACGAGAGGGTAAGTGCTGGGCTCTGCACCCTCCTGGTCCTTTTCTGGTCCTTTGCAGAAAAGTGGCAGGTGGCCTGGCTCTCAGGATGGTCGAAGCCTAATGAGGCCAGCAGTCCTGGTCTCTTCGTGCTTCCTCAACTGCTTCCCCGGGATCACGCTGGAGTGTATGTCACACTTTCCACTTCCTTAACACCACTTTGGAGACTTAGAGAAGTGTCATTTGGGAGTGGTCTTGGTGAATTAGGTGAATGTAATCTCAAGCCATGTTCAGAACCACCCATGGGCACGCTGGTTTCAGAGACTCCTATGAGTTTGGGATCCCCCACCCACAGATGATGAAGCGTATCAATACAAAGGCTTCACACCAAACGTCGAACCCCAGAGTGCCTGTTAGCCTGGACCCAGAAACAGTGTGAGGACAGCAAAGTGGAGGATCCCAGCACCCCCCTGAGATCATGGCCTTCAGCGTGGTGCTGGCATGGCCGGCATCTTTAATTTGGTTCAGTGTGTGTGTTTATGCCTCTCACTACATCATCCATGCCACAGGCAGCAGAAAAGGGGTTTCAGGATGGTGACAGGCTGGGCTCTTCACCCAGATCTGCTTTCCTGCTGGCACTGCCCCTAATTCACCATGACTTCAGGCAGAATCCCAACCGAGGGACTCCGAGTCTCCAGCCATTCAAAAACAAAACAAAATAGCAACACAGAAATGACAGAGGTGTCGTCCCAATTACAAGAACTGAATGAGGTAACATATGGAGAGCTTAGCACAAGTAAACCAGTCTTTTCACTCTAAGCTCAGTCATTCCCAGTTCAATTTGTTCCTGAACCCTGGCTATAGAAAAGAAACGTGAGGCCGTTTTTTTTTATTTTGTTTTTAGAGACAGAGTCTCACTTTATCGCCCTCCATAGAGAACTGTGGCATCACAGCTCACAGCAACTTCCAACTCCTGGGCTTAGTGATTCTCTTGCCTCAACCTCCTGAGTAGCTGGGACTACAGGTGCCCACCAGAATGCCTGGGTATTGTTTTGTTGCAGTTTGGCCAAGGCCGTGTTCGAACCCACCACCCTCAGTATGTAGGGCTGGAGCCTTACTCACTGAGCCTGTGGAGCCGGAGCCCTACTCACTGAGCCACAGGCACCACCCCATAAAGTGAGGCCATTTCTGTCACCTAAGGGAAGCAAATGGAGAGCAAAGTGAACATTTATTGAGGGTCTACAATGTGCCAGATGCTGTCTTATCTCATTTCCATCTTCACACAAGTCCCATGAGTTAGATGAAATTATACTCATGAAACTAGGGTCGCGCCTATGGCTCAAAGGAGTAGGGCACTAGCCCCATATGCCAGAGGTGGTGGGTTCAAACCCAGCCCTGGCCAAAAAAAAAAAAAAAAAAGTGAAGAAACTTAAGCTGGAAGAGGTTAAGGCACTTGCCTGAAGTCACATAGTAAAATGAGAGGAGGATTCAGCCCCTAGGCTTAAGCTGTTTCAGTATCTGATGCATTGAGGCCCCTGCCCTTTCCAGCAAGATCACTGTTCAGGTAGAGTCATCTCAGTGGGGGGGGGGTGTCCCAACAGTGGCCCTCCAACAATGCACAGCCTGGTCACAGGATAAAGGAGCTGAGGAAGAAAGAGAATTATCTTCTCCCGGGAAAAAAATTAAGTCTCTCTCAATTAAATAACCACTCTCTCTGCCCACCCCGGCTTTCCTTTAGGTCAAGGCATCTCAAGAAGATGACCGAAGAGTACCCAACTCTTCCCCAGGGAGTGGAAGCCTCCCTACCGCTGACAGGCAGTGCTTCCTGTGGTGTCCCCAGCATCCTCCGGAAAATGTGGACAAGACACAAGAAGAAGTCAGAATATGTGGGAGCCACTAACAGCGCCTTTGAGGCTGACTAAGGTGACCCTCCCCTGCATTGGCCAAGGTTCCCTGGACAAGGAGAAAGCTTCAGGATCGCAGCTGAACCACACACATCTCTGTTAGCAGCTGGTCCAACCCATCATCCTCCTCACTAACCGGTCACCCTGGGTTTAGGGCATGGAAAAGTCTGTCCCTTCAAGGCAAAATAAAAACTGCTCAATTGCTAGAACCATGGTCATAAAGTTTATAGCCCCATATTTATGCAAAACCATAGCATCCCACTTTAAAGACCTCCAAGAAAAGAAGAGGAGGATTCCTCTGTCTTCCTTGTAAGTCATTCTAAAGTGTGACTTTCTGATGTAAATTTAAGAGGTTGACTTTGAGGCATTTGTGAACACAATGGTTTTTACCACTCCCATCATCACATTTACTTCACCTTGATGAGGTCTGATTTTGAAGGACAAGGCATCATGTATTAACTTAGTAGTTCCAATATGCACTTGAGAACATCATCAAGATCAATGCTGACAGTCATTTGGCATGATTGCATGAGTTCTCTATTCTTTTATGTGCAGTTTTTCTATAGAAAAACATTAAAAATTAAATCTCAAATGCTAATGTTTTTTGAAGTGGCATAGTCTAGTGAAATTAATAACACCATACTTTGGTATAATGATTTTTAACTTCTGGTTCAGCACCTGTAGCACAGTGGTTACAGCACCAGCCACATACACTGAAGCTGGTGGGTTCGAACCTGGCCCAGGCCAGCTACACAACAATGACCACAGCAACAAAAAACAGCCAGGTGTTGTGGCAGGTGCCTGTAGTCCCACCTACTTGGGAGGCTGAGGCAAGAGATCGCTTAAGCCCAGGAGTTTGAGGTTGCCATGAGCTGTGATGCCACGTCACTCTCCTGTGACGTGGAGAGAGTGACATAGAGAGGCTCTGTCTCAAAAAAAAAAGTAATTTTAAGTTCTGAAAGTGCTTTCTCATCCATTTTCTCTTCTTATCTTCATAAAAACCCTGTTGAAGAAAGCACAATTATTTCCAGATCATAGATGGGGGAATTGAAGCCCACAGAGGCCTTGTGACTAGATAGTAGGAACCCCAGGTCCTCAACTTCTCTTCAGCAGACTCTCTGCTTTGCTTACTCTAACACCTGATTTGAGGAAATTATCAAATGATGGAACTAGGCCCCTAGCGGCAACCTTTGAGGAAAGAATCTGATACTGTTGGAACAAGTTAGTGATTTGAATGAAATACATCATCATGTATTAGGTTGAACCAGAAGAAATTGTCATTTTTGTCTGTCAAAAACAATTGAAAATTGAGTACCAATTTCATGAGGTTCAATCTTATATATAATATTATTATGCTTTCCTTCTTTCAATGGAAATGCCACCATCAACTCCATCGTTAACATCAGTGGCCTGAAAATGATAATATACTGCTAGTAATGATAATGGTAGCTATCATTTATTAAATGCCTACTATGTACCAGGATGATACTGGGCACTGTGCATATGTTATTCTAATCTATGTAACAACTCTCAGATAAGAGGTCTTACTCATACAATAGACACCAATTCAAAGTTAAATGATTAGACAGAAAGCATCTAACTCATGTCAGTGTCAGGCTTCAATGCCTGTGTTATATCTACACCTTCACACAGAATAGTTCAGAACCTAGGGAAGGACTGATGTTACTAAATAATTTTCAGCTAAACTGCTAAAGGCAGTTGATGGGTAGAGGCTGCCTGGAGTTCTGGGCAGAGATGGAATCTGAGATAGAAGAATGCCGGGATCAATTAGTGACACCTGACTGTGGAGGTGGTTAGTGACACATGCCTTGTGTTATTTGTCATCCGTGGTCCCAACTTTGCCCCTAGAAGGCTTTTTTTCTAATTAAGAGGTTTAAAATAATCTAAGCCACTTAATAAAACCAGAATTTGAGCCTAAGACTGTGTTGGAAATTGCCATGTCTTGGTACAAAGAAGTGTTTGGCCACACTGCAGGCCTCAGACTCCACTGTTGTTTGTGACTGCTGTGCTGTGCCCAGGCCTTGCTTTTTGCTGAATTTGAATTACCAGTTTCCATATCTCCAGGTGAAACATAGGAAGGCATGGGGATGGATAAGACACCTGGGCTTCCGGGCTTTCACCTTGCTTATCTCTGCTTTTCAACCATTACTTTAGACCCCGATCATCCTAATTCTCATATCCATTCATGATTTGGAGACTTGGGCATCAGGTGCCCTTTCACTGAGGGGCTATTCCCAGGGGGATTTTCAGTATTTTATTTGGCGTAGATGCTAGGGTCCAGAACAAAGTTGGAGAGCTAACAGGTGATCTGTGCTGGACCTAACATAGCAAGGTACAACTATTTAGACTTATTTAATTTATAACTGGTATCTTTCATTTGTATGTGGCAGCTGGAGATTTATATAGGATGGGACTAACTTATTTATTTTTAATTTAAATATTTCATGTTCGCCTTGTATAGAACATTTTATATGGCCAATTCAAATAAAAATAAAGTATGCTTTGTTCGTGATATTAATAAACCACTAGAAGAGCATGCCTGAGGCTCCCTTATTGACTCTGGCAAAGAGGAAGAATTAAGTATCTGAGCACTGTTCCTTTAAATGAGAGGGACTGTAAGAAAAACCCAGGGGCTGTTCTTTTCATCCTAAGGCAATGTCTGTTTTGGATATCACAGGCCCTGCTCAGCAGTCAACACCAGATGTGCTTCTGGTGGAGCTAGGCTGATGCGCTGTCCTCACTGGGCTCACCATCCTCCCCTCTTATCTGCCCCCAAGCCAGGCTGCAGGGAGATACAGCCCTCCTCCTCTGTGCCCACCTCTGGAGACTATCCACATGACTCAGGTCATGGTCACTTGCAGAAGGGCGCCAAGGCTTGCTGCAGACAGCCATCCTGGAATGACCAAGCCTGGAGTCTTCCAGAGCCAGCAGCAACAGGGTTTCCAGGACATTTAGGGTAATGAAAGCGCCTCTGTTAGGACCAAGTCCAGTCCCATATTTCAGTTCCTGCTCCAGCACTCCCTGTGGCGCCTCTCCACCCGCCCGCAGCTCAGGTTGCCTTTAGTGCTGGCAGATGGGCAGTAGGCAGAAGAAGCAGCACCAGCCAGAGCCCAATTTTAAAAGGAATCATGTAGCACGTTGTCTCCAACTCTAAATTGGCAGAAACCAAGGGACAAGCAAGGAAAAACACAGGCAAAAAGATGAGTCTCCTAAGGATTAGAATTTGCATTTGGTTTTTAATATTTTACAAGAATGTCAGCTTCCTCCACCAAGAGGTGCATGGAGCAGGCATTACTGCCGTGCACAGAGAGAAGTCTCCTTCCAAAGGCCAGGCCACATGCCTAGAGATTTATTTTATTTTTTATTTTTTGCCACTTTGGATCTGGGACAAGACTCGCACCTATTAATACCATTTATTGGGAGGTAACAGGGAGGCGGGGAAACAACAGCGGAAGGAACTTAGCGTGTGACTCAGTTGTCAGTAGGGGAGTGGAGGCTGTGCCAGCCACCTTTCCACCCCTTGTCAGGGTGTGGGGAGCCTCACTGGGAGACGCTTGATGCCCCCCAACATTAGCTCCTTCCCACCCCTCAGACTTCTAAGGCCTGAGCCATTCTGGAGACCCAGAGACACATCCCCATTCCAGGCTGCCCCTCATGGTTGCCATGACACTTTTCCTCTTCCCTGAGGACCAGCACCAAGGTTTGTTTTTGTTTTTGTTTTTGTAGAGATGGGATCTCATTACACTGCCCAGGTTGGTCTCCAACTCCTGGCCTCAAGGAATCCTCTAGCCTGGCCTCCCAAAGCACTGGGATTGCAGGCGTGAGCTACCATATCTGGCTAGACATGGCCATTTCTGAAATCTACAAAAATACCTGGCCAGCACCCCAAGTATGACTGTGAATGTGTCTCCAGAGGACAATATTTGGATGGAGAGGCAAAGCAAACAATGGAAGTGGTCTCTCTTCCACCAAGACATTTTCTGGCCACAGCAAAGCTGCAGGCAAGGACACTCTTGTTCTCGGATTATACATGTCCCCCCACCTCTGACGTTCCCCATGCCATCTTCCCAATCTAAGCACACTCACACTCCTTCCCTTTCTGTTCCCTTCCTGAGTTACCCTATTGCGAACCAGCATGGGGAAGAGGAGCAAACCAAAGTGGAAATGGCAGTGATTGAGGAAAATACAACACAAGAGAAGGCACAGAGACAAAAGATGGGTCGGGAGGTCTGCCGGAGCTGAGGGCTGCAGCCAGCACCAAAGCACAAAATCAGCGTTATTTATAGTATGTGGACAGAGTTGCATGCGGGGAAGTAGCATAGACAGAAGACATATCTTTGGTCTTATAGTATGACTGGAAAATGTAAATGACTTTAATAAAGACAATCACCCTGTTAATGGTTTCTACTCAACTTTGTTAACATATGATAAAAAGTAAGAAGGGAAAGATCACATGGATCTCTGCATAGTTCTTAAAAATTAACTAGATAAAGGAAGAGCTACTAAGGGAGAGCATGAAGAAAGGAATATGGTTGTGCTGGGGAAAGAGGAGAAGCAGCTGGGGGTTCATTCCCTGAATGTTCCCCAGGCTATGGGGGCCCTGCTGCCACACAGCCAGCTCTCCACATTTCCCCACACTCTGCTCCTTAGCCTCTGGTGGGGCCTGAATCGGGACCACCAGGGGGTCCCACAGCCTCTGCCCTGCTTAGGGCCTGTAGAATGCTCTGAATTCCACAATGCCAGGAACACTCACTAGCAGTGAGAGATTGTGATGCCGTTGAACTTCACGGAGACTCAGTTTCCTCAGTAGATGAAAGGAAAATGTCATATCTTAAAATAAGCAAATAAATAAAAGAAAGAAAATGTCTCATCTTGCTTCAAATGTTCTAGAAGAGAGTGAACAAAATAACCAGTACTGCTATGCAGCTGGCACACACCTGCACTGCCATGCATGTGACATCGGAGTGCTTCTACATAGGCTGGCACCAGCCAGTGCC